CTAAATAAAATAAAATAAAGCTTCACCTAGTTCAAGTCAGTACAGCATGCAACTCTTGATCTCAGGGTTGTAGGTCGGAGCCCCAAGCTGGGTGTAGAGATTACTTAAAATCTAGATAAACAAAACCTCAGCGTGTTCAGCCAAAAACAAATCCACAGAAATAAAACCCTGCTGTTGGGGGGTGACATCACCAAGATGGCAGCATAGGTTGCTCCTGACTTCATGACCTCTCATAGGAACACCCAGCGACTATTCAAGATCAAGACCCCACTGAGAATCCCAGATAATGCAGTTGAGGCCAAAGCGCGCCCTGCCCCAAGGAGACCAAGAGCTTCTGCATTAGAAGCGTAGGAAGTGACTACGTGCTGACTGCACTGCCCCTCCCCCAAGACAGCCTAGCGCCACACAGAGAGGTCTCCCCTGAGCCTCTCATTCCTCCAGTAGGAAGAGAGAACCCCAGGGGGACAACTGGACTCCCCTGAGCATTGTGGGCCACTCTGGAGGAGCTCCTCCCAGATCGCACACCAGGGGAATCTGCAGCTGTCGGGAATCTGTGACGGAGAAGCAGGGAGAGACTTGCAGCAACCGGCACACACCTCTCAGCAGACCGAATTCATGCTTGCAGTGCCCAAGGGGTAATCCCGACCAGCAGTTTTGCTCATCTGCAGAACCAAGTCAGGAGTGCACTCTGACCAGGGAACGTGATGGGGTGCAAATCCGTCTGTTTCAGATCCTCAGACATGGAGTTTTGCTGGGCCTAGAGCTCCGTTTGCCCATGCTCAGGGAAGGAGCTGAGTCACAGCACTATCTGCTGGGGAGTGTCTCCCAGCCCCATCTGACCGGAAGGGCTGGCAACAACTCCTGGAAGCTGTGTGGCCCAGCAGCACTCAAGCTACGAAGCTGAGCAGAGCTGATCACCTGCAGGGCAAAGCCAGTATGGGGAGGTGTTCCCATGGTGTGCCCAGGCAGGGGTCTGATCCACAACCAAGGCTGAGGGTAGCTCCTGGCTCCGCCCAACCTGAGGGCTTGTTGGGGAAACTGAAAGTAGCCTGGTGCAACCCAGCCCCCTTCCCAGCAGGCAAGGATGCTGAGACCGGGCCATGCTTCCTGTAAAGGGTGTCTTCTGGCCCCGTCTGATCAGAGGGGCTGGCAAAACACCCAGCAGTACTCAAGCCTAGACACAGGCAGAGCCCACAGTTTGAGGAGCAAAGCCAGTGGCCCTGTTTGGGGTGTGGGTGGACTTGAATTAAGAAAATCAATGAAGAGCTGTACCAGCTTTAGAGCTGCTTCTCCTGCTGTATCCATGGTCCTCACTGGAGAAAGACTTCAGTGTGTGCAGCCAGGGAATCTAAGCAGAGCAGGCAGGAAACTCTGTAGCCCATTCCACAGGGCCACATACAGTGACAATGGAACACAGCACAGCCCATGGCTTTCCCATCTGCAGAGAAAAACAATGGCGTCACCTCACCACAAAATGCAGTGCACACTCTAGCCTGATTTGGGCCCCCAAACCACAAGCTATATAAGACTTGGGTTCTGTCCTGCTACCCTAAGGCAAGGAAATTAATTCATAGCCTCATCTATCACTGAAATAGTTCTCAGTCATGCCCATCTAGCAAGCCTGTAGAGCCCATCCTACAGCCTCACTTGGGCAGGGAACCAAGAGCCAGCTGTCCTGTCCAGCTGTTCTCATCCAGTGACACACTCTCCCATCCCCATCCTCAGAGCGTGAACAGCTGCCTCACCCAAAAATAGACCATAATAGTAGGCCTCTTCTATTCAAAGACATTATCAGCGGACATACCCAAAAACCCCAACTGGGCTGACTGGTGAAGAACTATCTATCTCTCCCAAAGTAAAAATCGGTAAAGTGTGAGAGAGGAGCCCCATTACTCAAATACACAGATACTAAGTAAGGAATCACGGATCACAAAAAATCAAGTAAATATGACACCACCAAAGGAAACTAATTAAAGTTTCAAGAACTTACCCTAAAGAAATGGAAATCTATGAACAGTCAGATGAAGAATTCAGAATAATCCTCTTAAGAAACTTTAGTGAAGGTCGCCTGGGTGGCTCAGTCAGCTAAGCGTCTGTCTTCAGCTCAGGTCATGACCCCAGGGTCCTGGGATGGGGTCCCAGATTGGGCTCCTTGCTAAGCAGGGATTCTGCTTCTCCCTCTGCCTACTGCTCCCCCTGGTGTCCTCGCTCTCTCTGACAAATAAATAAAATCTAAAAAAAAAAAAGAAGAAGAAGAAGAAACAAAGTTTAGTGAACTACAAGAAAACACAGAAAAATAAATGAAATTAGGAGCACAATGCATGAAAAATTGAGAAGTTTAACAAGGCAATAGCAACCATAAAAACAAAACAAACCCACCCAAAACCCCACCAAACCCTAGAAATTCTAGGAGCTGAAAAATACAATAATTGAACTGAAGAATTCAATAATTTCAAAAGGAGACTCAACCATGCCAAAGAATGAGCTACCTGAATGAGACACTGGAAATTACCCCATCAAGGAGCAAAAAGCAAAAAGAATGAAAAAGAGTGAATAAAGCCCATGGGAATTATGGAACACAATGAATTATGGGACACAATATGAAGCAATATTCATATCATAAGAATTCCAGAAAGAGAAGAGGAAGAGAAAGGGACAGGAAGTATATTAAAGCAACAATGGCTGGAAACTTCCCAAACCTGGGGAGGGGAGGGAAATGGACATCCAGATCCATGAGGCCCAAAAAACTCCGAATAGGTTGAACCCAAGTAGGGCTTCACTATGACACATTATTATATTAATAATTAAATTATATTACATTTTATTATAATTAAATTGTAAAAAGTCAAAGAAAGAATGTTAAGAGCAGCAAGAGAAAAGAGAGATTTTATAAATAAAATACCTGATATGTTAGATAACAACAAATGTTATGGAAAATAGACAAGAAGGGTCAAAAAGGAAATGTATGTATGTGTTTGGGGGGAGATTTTTTTTCTCTTCCTTTCCCCTACTCTCTGTGATATGATTACTAAATCTGTTATCTTCCACCTCCTTAATATTTCACCTTTCCTTAACCATCATCTTCAAATTCATGGTGCTACTTTAAAACACATGGCTATTTAGTAGGTATGTCTCTCTCTCCTTTCCACTATGCCAATTCATTCATTCATTCTCCACACTCCTGCCACAGAAAACTACTGAAATTAAAATCTCTGTTATTTGCAGCAATTGTTCAGCACCCCAGGTTTCTCAAGGCAGGTACTCTCAAGAGCCCTTCATGAAGGAAACAATAATCAACAAAATCTATAGTCTGAAAAATAGCAGAAGCTGCCTCTAAAAGCAAGAAAGAGTTTTAAATAATTATTTTAAATTTATTTTTATTTTATTTTTAAATTATTTAAAATTAAATTTAAATGAATAATTTAATAATTCAATAATGCATTTTGAAGGCATATATTTTAAACTTTGAGAGCTGCGTGAATTCTGCATTCTCTATAATATAGCCTTGATGGCTTTACTCTATTTTTTAAAGTTTTAAATTATTTACCAGCCAAAGTATTTTTTAGGCCCATTGACACCTCCACCCCAATGTTCCCCTTCCTCCAGGAAGATGGTCTGTTTAGCCCATCACTTCGAGTGTCTGTTTTTAAAGTGTGAAATGAAGGGAAAGCTCAAGGTGAATCATGGAGTCAAAAAAGGGGGGGGGGAGCAATATGTATATGATCTATACAAAAAATGAGATATAAGTTCTGTTAATACATATTCTATAACTGCTATGAATTGTACTCGCTATTTGCTAGGAGTTTTAAAATTATTTTCAAGACTTTATTCTCAAAAGAAAGGCAGATTTCAAGACTTTATTCTCAAAAGAAAGGCAGACTGCCACGTGCAGCGCCTCATTTGGATGTGTCTGGAGTCTTGGAAGCTTGACTACCCTACGTTCTCCTACAAATGGACCTTGAGAGCTTGTTTGGAGGTTCTAGCAGGGGAGCGCAGCTACTCGTATACCCTTGACCGAAGAACGGTCCTCTCCTCTATCGGGGAAGGTCGTCCTCTTCGACCGAGCGCGCAGCTTCGGGAGGGACGCACATGGAGCGGTGAGGGAGGAAGGGGACACCCGCCTAGCCAGCCAGATCAGCCGAATCAACCCTGGCGATCAATGGGGTGACAGATGTCGCAGCCAGATCGCCCTCACATCCGAAAGAACACGGCTGCGCACGAGTTATATAAACTCTAATACCAATTTTACTTTTAGCATAGGTCGAGTTTCCTTAACCATACCGGATCTCTAACAGGTCTTTTCTAACTAAAGTTGTAATCTAACCAACAGTTTAAGGCCATTTTATGTCTCGCAAAGCTAAAATTTGTTTTGAAACCTGCTTGAATTTGGGCTGTTTTCATAGTATCCAGAATGCCTTGCAGATGGGTGGGGCATGCTAAACATTGCGGTCCCTATTGGTGAAACTTCCCGGAGCCTCGCCCATCCGAGCGCCTTCTGGCGGTCAACCCCGCCCGCCTTGCTGCAGAACGCTCGCCGAGCGCTTTGTGCAGCTCCGTGTGCTCCGAGCGGACTTCAGGTCTGTCTCCCTCCTGCCGCCCCTCTCTCCGCACCGCGTTTCTCCTCCCCTCCGCTCCTCGGCCCCAAGCCTCCTACTCCATCGTCCGTCGCAACTCTCCCCAGCTCCCCATTCAGTCCTCGTCTCTCTCCCTCCTGTCCCTTTGGCGCTTCTGCCCCCATCTAGGCTGACGTGGGCTCCTAGGATGGGGCTGGGGTCATTCTTGGCTCCGAGTGCGTATTATTTTTATTAACCCGCTCTGCGGAGTCTAAATCCACGGGTTTCAGTGGACTACTAGCGCGGATCCCCCCGAAGCCCCGGTGTAGCGTGGGCTGAGCGGGGACCGGAGTAGCCCAGGACTCTGGTTTCGGGTGGCCGAGCCCGGGGCCTGGGCGCATTCCGAAGGTGGGAGGTGCAGTTCCCAGCTGGGGCGGGGGATGTGCGGGACCCGGGGCGGGGTGGGGAGAAGCTACCGCAGCCTGGACCGGGGACGCGCATTTTGCAGACAATAGTATCGCTCGGCCCGTCCACCTCCCCGTTGCTGTGATAACCAAGTAAGATGTTGCTGTGAGAGCGTGAATTCTTGCAAGGGTTCCGAAGGGTGCACACTTCCGCGCGGCCCCCCGCGTCTTGCCTCTCCAGCCCGAATCTGGAAAATTTTAAATTTTCAAGGTCAAAGTATATGATGTTCTGAATCTATGAAGTATCTTACTGCTGGCACAAATGTCTGTATAACCAATGTCCCCAGCTTCCCAAGATCCAGAATAAGGAATCATAAGTAGACACGGTATGAAAACCAAGGTGGTTGTTTCTTTTAATATTTGGAAATGGTGGTAGGTTTTTATGGAGTGAGGGAAAACGCAGTCATTTAAAAAAAAAAAAAAAACGAAAACCCCCACCAAAAACCGATTTCCTGTGCCAAAATCCTGAATATTCATTTAGCCTGAAGACAGGACACAAGACTGCTCGTTTAGGAGGAGCTGCGCATTTGGTTTTTGTTTTGTTTTGGTTTTGTTTGTTTTTGGTTTTTTCCAGAAAGCCTGAAAGGCCATCATGGCAGCGAAGCCCAAACTCCACTATCCTAATGGAAGAGGCCGGATGGAATCCGTAAGATGGGTTTTAGCTGCCGCCGGAGTCGAGGTACCCTATATGCTGTTTCTTCATCGATTTGTCGTACAACTTTGAGACTTTTGAGGAAAACATCAATGGCGGAGTCCTGTTCTCACTGTCTCCCCCCCCAACACAGACAGGCTTGGTTGAGTCAGAAGACGCCCTCCTTGCCAGGGTTATTTTTCTTTAAAAATGGAATGTGGTCGATGGAATTTTATTTTACTTTAGACTTTTACGTAATCATTAGCTTCTGATCTGCCACCAGTAAGAATTTATTAATAAGGAGGAAAGGAATGAACCTGAAATTTGCCAGTGAAGACTTTTGTTAATTAACACAATCTGTAGGTAAATTTCCTCTTCACTTAAATGGCTTCTAACCGGTAGCCTTCTTGTCTGTCTGCCTCTGGTGTAGGCTTTGACCCACAGTGTTTTTATCTTTCTTTTTGTTCTCTTAGCTTCTTATTTATGGAAATGTTCCAGTTGGTACAGAGGTTGAGAAAACATTGCCACACGTTTCCCCTCATCCAGTTTCAATAGTCATTTGCTTTAAAATGCTGCTCTGCTCTCCTCCATCTCCTCCATTTGATTTTGTGGGAATATTTTAAAGCAAAATCCAAGCATCATATCCTTTCATCTGTGATGAGTGTTTCAGTTTTTATCTGTAAAAGATGAGGATTTTACAACACAACCACAATACCGCAATTGCACCCAACAAAATTAACAGTTCCTTATTAATATCTGAAGAGCCTGATTGTCTCAAACAGGTCTTTTTATAGTAAGTTTATTCCAGCCTGGATCTAAATCACGCCCACACATTGCATTTGGTTATGTTTCTTTCAGTATTTTTAAAATCTGTAACAGTTTCCTCTGCATTTTTTAAAACTAAACTTTATATATATTTGGGAATAATTTTAAATGTAAAGTGAAGTTGTAAAGACAGTGCATGTAATGGCGACTGAGTCTTCCCTAATGATATCATCTTATGTAATCATGTCAAAACTAAGAAATTGACATTGGTGCCCAACTACACTGCCGACTATTTGAATTTAATGAGTTTTCCAATCATGTCCTTTACTGTTGTTAGATGCAACATTATACTCAGTCACTATGTTTCCTTAAGTCTCTCTCAATATCACAGTTCCTCAGTCTTTCTTTTATTTCATGATGTTGACAGTTTTGAAAACTACTGATCAGAATTTTTGTAGAACTCCCTGGTTTGGGTTTGTTTGTTTTCTCATGATTGTACTGGGGTTTGGGACTTGGGGGAAGACTAGCACAGAAGTCAAGTGCCCTTCTCGTTACATCATATTAGGGGTGATATTAACATGAGTTATCCCTGGTGCTGTTAACCTTGGTCACTTGGCTAAGGTCATGTCTGCCAGGTTTCTTCATTGTAAAGGGATTATTTTCCCCTTTATTATTTCCAAACAAGTCATTAAGTTCAGCTCACACTCAAAAGGACAGGCATTAAACCCCACCTCCTGGAGGGGGAGGCATCTGCATTTAGAATTCTTACATAAGAGAGATTTTTTTTTTCTCCTCCATTTATCTAGTCAAGCATTTCTTTCTGTCAGTATGGGCGTAACTATATAGCATTTACTTTATGCTTCGTGTTATAATCCAATAATGTTTTCTTGCCCAAATCATCCCATTTTGGCCATTTGCTGTTTCGGGTTGGCTCCACGGCTCCGCGCTCCCTTTCTTTTCTTACCCTTCAGCTCTCTCTTACATTCTGTCACTTTAGGACGCTCCAGGCTCTTCTTGTGTCTTTCTTGCCCTGGCCCTAGAATCTGGTATTTCTCCAAGGAATCCTGGTCCCTTTTGCCGGCAAGTGGTTTTAGCAACCAAGAGCTGAGTGCCAAGTGTCTGTATTTGTTTTTGTGCCATTTCTTTGTGGAAGAAACTGTCCTATAGAATTTACCCCATTCTGGATTTGGCTGCCTTACCCTCATTTTAACATATTCTTCTCTTCCTGTATCTCCTGTTAACTGCTAGTTGAACCCAGAGCTGTCATCATGGCTCACTTTTTCTCTCTAAACCTTTTTTTTTTTTTCCTTTTTTTGCCTGCCAGACACATGTAATAAACATGTGTTTATTACACAGCATCAAGGGATGCCTGATGTCTTTCTCCCTTTTCAGAAGAGCTGAGCTTGATCCCATGTTCCAGAGATGTCAGCCTGGTCCACACATTGCAAAATTTCCTCCATTACCTTCTCAACTAGTGGTTTTAGCATCTATTTTTCATCACCGTTGTTAAGGGATTACAAAATGGTGATTTTTCTGTTTCTATAAGTGTATCTGAATTTATTAACTGTGTTTCTCTTACAAAGAGTAATTTTTTAAAAATATTTTATTTATTTATTTGACAGAGATCACAAGCAGGCAGAGAGGCAGGCAGAGAGGAGGAAGCAGGCTCCCTGCCGAGCAGAAAGCCTGATATGGGGCTCCCTCCCAGGACCCTGGGATCATGCATGACCTGAGCTGAAGGCAGAGGCTTTAATCCACTGAGCCATCCAGGTGCCCCACAAAGAGTAATTATTTTTTAAAAGATTTTATTTATTTATTTGACAGACAGAGATCACAAGTAGGCAGAGAGGCAGGCAGAGAGAGGAGAAAGCAGGCCCCTCGCTGAGCAGAGAGCCCAATGGGGGACTTGATCCAGGACCCCAGATCATGACCCCAGCAGAAGGCAGAGGCTTTAACCCACTGAGCCTCCCAGGTGCCCCCAAAGAGTAATTTTTAATTCCCTTGAAGTACAGTTCATATGGGAAAGATCAGGTAAATGCTTGATGTAGTCTCTTCATCGATTTTCAGAATACTTGGTCGTTACCCTAGCAACCTCCAAAGATGGCAAATTGTTGGGTTTGAGGCTTTGTGTTTTGTTTGGTTGGTTTGGGTTTTGATTTCTTTGCATATCTTTTTTTTTTTTTAGGATTTTACTTGTTTATTTATTTGTCAGAGCGAGAGAGAGAGCACAAGTAGGCAGAGTGGCAGGCAGAGAAAGAGAGAGAAGCAGTCCGCCCGCTGAGCAGGGAGCCCAGCATGGGGCAGCGGTTAATCGACTGAGCCACCCAGGCATCCCTTTGTGTATCATTCTAACTCACTGTACAGTGCGTTAAAATTTGCTAAATTAGTTAATATCATTTTTATGTACGAATTCTGACTTCTGACTTCTCTTGGTAAGTCTGAAGATCTGATGGTACTAGGCCCTCGTTTTCAGAGGGCAGTAATTGCTAAATCTGAGTAAGGAAGGACTGCCACTATAGATGGACCTTTCTAGTTGATCACACTCCCCATCATTTCCCTGTTGTCTCAGGATAGATTTTCTAGTTGTGTTAAGGGGTGAGTGAAAAAATTCTTGGTTCCATGTCCTGAACCTGGTTGGCTTATTGAAGTCACCTGTCTTTCCCCTGTGTGTTTCTGAGTTTGAAGTTCTGGCTTATTTAAGAGGTTTGCAATGGGTGTCTTACTTGTGCGTTTAATATAATCCTTTGCCAAACCCTCTCTTTCCAACCTTCATTCTCCCCTATTCCTCCTACTCCCCTGTATATGTGTCAAGATTCTTGGTGACAGCAGTAGAAAAACCAACCCTAAGTAAGTTTAAAAAAAATAAAACAACAACAACAAAAAACAAAACATGGGTCCCATGACCAGTCACCGTGGGCAGACAGGTGAGGTAGAGTATTGGCCCAGCGGGTCCCAAGCCCACCCTTCTGACCTGTGTGGAGGGAACTAGATTAGCCTCCCTAACTAGGGGCCGGCCACATGGTTTATAGAAGCCGTTCCCCAAAGATAGTACTGGTGACGAGACCTCCATCCAAAAAGCACATGTTTAGTTAAGCACACAGATCTGAACAGTTGTGGAGGACGTGCTGGCAGCCTGCTGGTTAAGTTCATGGTTCCTAATGTCACAGCGCTGAGTGGAGCCTGTCATGTAAAGCACACACATCTGAGTCACTCGGTAACCAAAACCTGCTGAAAGGCAGCCCACCTGATTCGGACACTCGACATCCTCGCTCTCAGTCAGTGGCTTTGGGTCCGTAGATGTTGCTCTCTGCCAAGTGTTGCTTCATTGCTGCTTGGGGCTTAAATTACCTGAAGACCCCTCAGAAACCCAGTCCAATCCCCCTGGAAAATTTGGGAAAGTAACACATATAAAAGAAGACTCAAGTGCTACAAACTCCTCATTCAGGGCTTCTGGGCCATTCATGTAAAACTGACAGTGTGGATAAGGGAGTGGTAAGCAGGAGAGCAGGTCTGCAGAATATCCCATTGGGAAGGGTATCCTGGTTAGGGAGCAAAGGCCACTGATTATGTAGATAGAAATCGAGACACGGTGTCTGTCCTTGAAGCCTCGCACAATACTTGAGTCACCAAGCTCCCTCCAAGGTCTGCCTTGTGATTTTTTTCTTCCCTCTCCCACCCTCTCATCTACCTGCACTTCCGTGCTGGCTTCTTACTGAACACGTTTTGTAAAGCTGGGGACAGAGTGTCCCTGGTGAGAGATCACACACATCTTGCATGATGTTCCCAAGAAGTTAGAAGCCAGAATCAGAACCCTTTAGAAAGATTGGCTTTAAGAAATGTGCATTTCTAGCCTCAGCTGTGGATCTCCGAAGAGTGGGCTTGAGTTCTCACACACACACACATATACACAGATGCACACACGTCAACGTACACACACATGCACACACACACTTTCCTATATGCTTTAAATGATCGTGGTTATAAAAGTTTGCAAGGTGTAGTATGGAGGGAGTACCACCTGCACTACATCTGGCTGTTGCACAAGTGCCCTGAACATTTTTTTTTTTTAAGATTTTATTATTTATTGGAGAGGAAGAGGGAGAAGCAGGCCCTACACGGACCAGGGAGCCCGATGAGGGATTCAATCCCAGGATCCCGAAATCATGACCCAAGCAGAAGGCAGGTACCCTGGTGCCCTGCCCTGAACATTTTTGCCCAGAGGTTGCTGCTCAGGGGGCACCAGATGGTGATCCTCCCAGACCCCTCTCACACCACGAGGATCCCGGCGAGTAGCAGAAGCCATACCTATACCCCATTATCTGGGTTCAACTCCCCCATCAGGTGGTTGAGCCAGAAGAGGGGAGGATTGCTGATTTGTGCTAATCAGCTCTGCCCCTCCCTAGGATGATTTGGAGGAGAAACACGGGGACAGACATGGGTGGGGAGTTGTCGGGGGACTTGGTGAGAGGAGGTCTCCCCTTCCGGACATGAAGCACATTACAGCATTAGAACACTTTTTTTTTAATGTCCAAGAAGAACATGCTTCCACCATTTCTTTTCCCCCCAGCTTTTTAATTTGAAAACTTTCAAACCTACAGAAAAGTTATAATAGGATAATGGACACCTTTGAACTCAGTGTACTAATTGTTAACATTTTGCTACATTTGCTTTCTCCCCGTGCCCCACCCCTGCCCCTGCCTTGCTTTTTTTTTTTTTTTTTAATCAACCATGAGAAGGAAGTTGTAGACATCAACATGTATTTTCCTCCTAAAAAAAAGTAATTGTGCTAATAACCACAGTATCATTGTCACAACTAATAAAATTAATACTAATTTTGCAGTAGCGGTACATGATCCATATTGAAAAGTTCCATACTGTCCCCCAGATGTCTATATTCCTGTTATCTGTGTAGCAGTTTTAACTGCCACTCCCCTTCCCTGCCCCCAATATCCAGGACCTAATCAGGATTCAGGTGTTTGGTTATTTTGTCTCTTTAGTCTGTTTTCATCTAGAATAGTATCTACTTTTTATTCCTTTTTTCCTCCCATACCCTTGACGTAACTGAGAAGAAGTGTGTAAAGAAGAAAGTGACTCTTTTGCATGAACTTGGAAACCAAATTCCATAAAGAAGAATTATCTGAGGAGGGGTGCCTGGCTAAAGTTGAAATCTCTTTTATTTATTTTGGCTTCCCCCCCCCCCCCCCCCCCAGAGAAACCACCAGAGAGGAAACATAAGCAAGGGGAGTGGGAGAGGGAGAAGCAGGCTTCTCACTGAGCAGGGAACCCGATGTGGGGCTCGATCCCAGGACCCCGGGATCATGACCTGAACCGAAGACAGACGCTTAACAACTGACCACCCAGGCACCCTGAAATCTCTTTTAAATAAAGATTTGTCCTTGGATGATGGAGCTCAAATTTTCAGTCAAGAAGTGAATGGAAGTCTAGAAAAGGAGAGCCAGATAAGTGGTGAGGGTCAGAGAATGGCAGGAGGTCAGGGAATGGCAGAGGCAAATCCCTCAAACCTGCTATTCTGAAACCTTGCACACCCAGGAGAGGCTTAAACACAAAATAAATTGTTGTTTAAAGATTTTATTTATTTGAGAGAGAGAGCATGAGCAGAGGGAAGACTCAGAGGGAGAGGGAGAAGCAGACTCCCCGCGGAGCAGGGAGGCCAACATGAGGCTCATCCTAGGACCCCGAGATCATGACCCAAGCTGAAGGCAGACGTTAACCTACTGAGCCACCCAGGTGCCCCCAAAACAAATTTTCTGTAGGTTTGAAAGAGTCAGCCGTATTTGTTACAGAGTGCCCCACATTCTGCACATGCCTGATTTTCACTTTGCATTTAGATCTGGGTCACAGTGTTAACCGTGCCCTTCTCATTGGGTCACAGCAGGAAGCACACAACATATCCGTGTCCCCCAATGGGGAGCTAAGTTTGATCACTTGGTTAGATAGATGGTGAGATCTCCAGATCCTTCCACCACAAAGCTGCATTTTTCCTTTCTCATAATTAGCTTGCGGGATGAGACTTCAAGGTTGTCTGAATATTCTCCACCTTTATAACTCAGTGATTTCAGCATCCTTCTTGATCCTTATCAGAATCAGTTGTAGATTACAGATTGGTGATATCCTTATTTTATCATTGGTTAGCACTAATTCTTCTGTAAAAAAGAACTTTCCCTTCCACCTTTTTGAGTATCGTCATGTAAGGACATAGGGATTTTTTTGTTGTTGTTGCTGGTATGTGTAATGATCCCTAAGTGACATTACTCTTCTGATGCTTGCCTAGGGACTCCTCCTCAAGTAGGGTCCTGCATGCCTTTGCCGTATCTTATCTGTCTTTGAGCTCGTCTTTGCTTTCTAATCTACCAGCAACAACCTCTTCTCCAAGGAGCCCTGGTTGCTTTTAGTGGGAAACCAAGATGTGGGTGCTAAGTGTGCTCATTCTCTCTGCTTCTGAGACAATTTGACTTGGTATTTTCAGTCCTGATCCTATAATGACCTATGCCTTCTTGGGGCGGGGGGCGGGTATCTTTTTTTTTTTTTTTTTTTTTTTAATTTAGTTTGATGAAGAATTCTTAGAAACAAAAGAACAGTTGCAGAAGTTGCAGGATGGTGAGTATGGAAATGAAACAACTGTTGGTAATACTGATTTTTCCTCCAGGTTTTCTTTTTAAAAGATTTATTTTTAGAGCATGTGCATGTGTGCATGCAAGTGGGGGAGGGGAGGGACAGAGGGAGAGGGAGAGAGAGAATCCTAAAGCTGACTCCTTGAGCTGAGCATGATATGATGCCCAATTTGGGGCTTGACCTCACAACCCTGAGATCAGGACTGAGCCAAAATCAAGAGTCGGACACTCAAGTGACTGCGCCGCCCAGGCACCCCAATAATGATTTTAAGAACTGATTTTTATGTGGAAGGGCAAAGATGTTGACATGAACACTCAGAGCAGTATCCTAAAACCAAAGGGGAGAAAGAACTGAAATTGCCAGTAAATCACTTTTAGTCAGTAATTCCCTGAGAGTTGAAGGGAATGAACTGTTAGGTAAACAGCTCTTCTCCATCCCTTTTTCCTCTTCCTGCCCTCCTCTGACTGCTCCCTCCCCTCTTTTTTGCTCTCCTTCATCCCTTCCCTCATTTTCATATTCCATACCTCACTTCTTCCAAATTGTCTGGGGCACCGGTGTTTGCTTGAAGTATACAGCCAGAAGTCCCCATTTACACTGGGCCACCTTTCTGTGGTGCATAGCAGACAGAAATGAATTCAGTGTAAGGCCCCCCTTACACTCCTGGTCAGCCCCACTCCCACCATGCGTGCCCAGGCTCTGTAAGGAATACCCAGCAACTATAAGTAGCCTCCCTCCCAATCATCAGCAGGGGGTCTCGGCCCAGCTAAAGGCTTCCTAGCGAGGGACCAGCTGCAGTGGCAGCCTTCATATGTAACACTGGCCTGATGTCACTGGGCATGTGTGGAGTACTCATCTCCTCCAGACCCTCAGGTACCGTCCCAATTCTTGAGCCCCTTGAAGACTGGGCTAGATCCTGTATTTCCCTCTCTGCAAATATAAACAGCAAACCTTAATACAGGTTTGTTGGAGAAAGCAATAAGCTGCTGTCAATCACTGACAGTGAACTTGGTTGTACATGGTCTGTGGCTAGGGCGTACACGAATGCCGGTTGGTGACTTTGGTTTTATGCTCAGATTTTCTAAAGCTGTGCCATCAGTAGAACATTCTACAGCAGTGGAGACATCCTGTTCTCAGTCCAGTGTAGTAGTTGCTAGCCACGTGTGTCTACTCAGCGCTTGAAATGTGTCAAACATGCTTAAGGAATGGAATTCTAAATTTTTCAGAATTTTGATTACATGTAGGTTTCACTAGACACGTACACCTGCTGGCAGCCGTGTTGGCCAAGGCAGCTCTGCAGAAATATCTTCACTGCATTCCCCCCTGCCCCTTGCCCCAGTGGGTAAGTATTTCCCCCTGCAGTGAAAAATGAAAAAGGAAGGTTTAGAACAGTGCTGGTTTTCAGGCTTCTTTGAGGGTTCAGTGTGCACCCCTGAATGAAGTTGAGGTTATCTGGGAGTTTCACACGGGTCCCTTTTCACGCAGTTGGGCGTGGTTAGGGGCACGGGGACAGGGAAGAGATCAGTATTAACTCCGGGTCTCCATTCTTAGGTAACCACCTGCTGTTCCAACAAGTGCCAATGGTTGAAATTGACGGGATGAAGCTGGTGCAGACCCGAAGCATCCTTCACTACATAGCAGATAAACACCACCTCTTCGGCAAGGACCTCAAGGAGAGAACCCTGTACAGTGTCCCATCTCAAGTGTTCTCGCTTGTCATTCACTGATACCTTAGCTGATAAGCGGTCTCTACAGCACGGCCGTCTCCTTTGTGCCTTGTATCATTAGTGTAAATGGGGAAGAATCAGTACAGAGGGTCTGGGTAAAACGAAAGAGAAGAATTGAGTTCAGTTGCTGGATCCTCTCTCTGGGGCGTGATTGTTTCAGGTTTGAGCATCTTTCAGTGCTTCGATGCTGCTTTTTACTTTCCTCACAAATTTATTATCACAAAGCACGAAGAACAGGAAGCTGCTATGCCATGATTCAAGGCCAGGGATACTGTGCCTTGATTATAATTTTGATTATATTTTTGAACGCAAAGCCTGTTCCTTATACCTCCTAAGATGTGTGATCTAGGGCGAGGTGCTGGGTTCCACAGTCCCACCGCGTGTCCCGTGCAGTGTACAGATAGCGCATACCTGATGATGTCATCGGAGTCCATGAAATAATGGGTGTAGAGCATTTAGCACACCAAGCAGTCCATAAATGATACCCGTTATTTTTATAAATCTGAAATTCCACCCACACCAAGCATGGGTACTAGAGTAAGGGTAGGGGCCCGGAAGAGGGGGAATGTCATGATTCTTGTGCTTACTGATTTGTGATGGATTTTTCTGAATTACAACTAGAATTGACTTTGCATCTTTGCTCTTGGAGGCAGATATAGATTAATGCTTCTGGGTTGCCAGAATCTTAAGAGAAAAGCACTCTGAATTCTTAGTCCTGGAAGCCGATGAGTTCAAAGAAGGGGAAACTGAGGAAACTTCCGTTTTGTTTTGTTTTAAGGATTGACATGTACGTGGAGGGAACACTAGATCTGCTGGAATTGATTATCATGCATCCTTTTCTAAAACCAGATGACCAACAAAAGGAAGTGGTTAACATGGCCCAGAAGGCTATAATTAGATACTTTCCTGTGTTTGAAAAGGTAGGTGGCAGAGAAGTCCATGAGCGCAGCCTAACCAGATGACCAAGGGAGGTGACGGTAGCCGTCAGCACAAAGCAGGGATGTTTTGGAGCCCCTCAGATGCTCCTTGGGCCGTACTATTCTAGAAGCCTGGGGAAAACACGGGTTCACCCCATGTGTGCGTTACTGTCCTTACATTCACCGTGAGCCCACCCTGTGGGAGATACAGAAGAGCAGAAACTACCTATTCCTTCCTTCTTTCACCCCACAAACCTTTGTGGAACAGCCGTTGTGTGTCAGATATCCTACCTGATGGTTCGATGTGATGAGAAGACCATTGTTTTGTTTCTCTTCCCTTTGCTCTTTTTGCTTCCTGTTTTGTTACTTTCCTCGTCTTATTAATAATATATCTGCTTTTCTGAGCCTCAGAGTCTTTTTCTCCACGGAGAGGAATGGTTTTCAATGTTTCTGTTAAAAAAAAGAAGTATAAAAGTAGGGAATTGGTAGATCTCCTCTTGCCATCTTTGTGGAATTAGATTTAAGAAGGAGAGGTATTTTCTGGGTTTTTCCATTGCTTGGTGTAATGGTCTCTTGCCCACAGGCACTTGGTGAATGTAAAATATGATAATGTAGAAATGTGGGTGTGATGAGGAAGGAGCAGGTGGCTTGGTGAGGTTGCAGACTAAGTTGGGGCTCCTCCCAACACATCAGCTATGAACTGTTATCCCTTTGACACATAGTGGAATGGAATCCCAGGCAGCTTGACACTCCTAAGGTGGGGAGCCAGAATTGGACAGGCTTCAGACTATAATTCTGGATTCATTGTGCTCTCCCAGTCTGGCTTCAGTAGCTATATTTGACTGGGAGTTTATGGAGAGCCCCTGTCAGACACCACACACGCACACACACACGCACACTCACTTATGGGCATCCAAGAGTTCACTGCAAAGAAGATCCTCACTTCTCTAGCACTATTCCTTGCTTCTCCCCCATTATCATCTATCCCTATGAATCTCTGAACCTACATGCTCTCAAAATGGGCATCAAGATGAGCTCTGGAAGATAGGGAAGGAAGCCTACTTTTTTAATAGTCATGTCTAGTTAATGACTGAGTCCTGATATTTACAGAAACACAGAGCTGCCAAGTGACATGAGACTCCTTGAAGGGAACCTGTTGCTTACATCTCATCCCCAAACCTCCTGAATTTGTCACCCGTAATTCATTTCTATAGATACATTTATGGAATGGGTGTATCCTTTTGAAGCTCTGGTTGCTAAATCCAGAATTAATATTTTCTTCCCCTTCTCCCCTTCACTGGTCATTCTGATACAAAGCAGATATATTATGGTAGTTCTGTTTCTATACCCTGTGTGCATTTTCTTTCTGTCTGATACAGGGAGCCTCCTCTTAGTTGATATTATTTATAAAATACTCAGATACTGCACTGATTCAACAGTTTCATCAGTTTCTCCATGTGAAGTATTGTAAGCAATGCAAAATATTTGTATCCTGTAGGTTTTAAGAGATCATGGGCAAAGGTTTCTCGTTGGTAACCAGCTGAGCCTTGCAGATGTGATTCTACTACAAACTATTTTGGCTCTAGAAGAGAAAATCCCCAATATCCTGTCTGCGTTTCCTCATCTCCAGGTAAATAAAACCATGTTTTAGAACATTGACCCAAAACTCTTGGGCCTTCCTTCAATGTCTGTTGATTGGTTGGCTGGGGTGTGTTTGTACTTTTTTAGATTCTAGTTCGTGAAATGGAAGTACAGACTTGAAATGGTTTTTCTGGTCCCCAGATCTTTAGAGCTAAAAGATCACATACCTGTGCAAGGGATTTTAGCTTAGTTTTGTTTCATAACTACACTGTTGAAACAAACTCCATACACAGTTTGCCAGTGAAGCTTGCCTTAGCGGTAATTGCAGGGATGAGGGATTCCTCCTCTGTCTGTGCTGTATATATACAGACAGGAGAGCTTGAGGGTCAGTACCAAAAACAGTCTTATCATCAGGGTGTGGCTCCCAGTCTTAGAAATACTGTGCTCTCCATCTGGAAACATTCCAGCCTGAGTTCTGAGAGTTGATCAGTGACATGCAAAGAGTTCCCACCATTCCCCTTCCCAGAAATTTCAAGGAGAGACTTGCATGTGGCTCCACTTATTTCTCAGTATTATTCTGCTAAGATTGATCATAGAACTTCAAAGAAGTGGAGGGCTTTATTTTTTTGTTTTTTGTTTTTTTTTTAAAGATTTTATTTATTTGTCAGAGAGTGTGAGCATGTATACACACAAGCGAGGGGAATGGCAGGTAGAGGAAGAAGTAGGCTCCTTGCTGAGGAGGGGTCTGTAGTCATTGACTATATTCCCTGGGCTGTACATTTCATTCTTAGGATTTATTCATTCCATAATTGGAAGCATATACCTCCCACTCCACCCATTTTGCCCATCCCCCTACTCCTATCTGGCAACCATCAGTTTGTTCTCTGTATTTATGTGTCTGTTTCTGTTTGTTTTGTTTTTTAAATTCCACATATAAATGAAATCATGATACTTGTCTTCCTCTGACTTATTTCCCTGAGTATCATACCTCTGCGTGCATCCATGTTGTCACAAATGGCAAAATTTCATTCTTTTTTATGGTCGAGTAATGTTCTGTGTGTGTGTGTGTGTGTGTGTGTGTGTACCACATCTTCCTTATCCATCCGTCTGTGGTTGGACACTTAGGCTGCTTCCATAATTTGGCTATTATAAATTAGACCACAATAAACATAGGAGTGCATATATCTTTTCAAATTAGTGTTTTCATTTTCTTTGGGTAAATACCCAGTGATGGAATTACTAGATTATATATTTCTATTTTTAATTTTTTGAGGAACTTCCATACTGTTTTCCACAGTGGCTACACCTAAATACAGTTTATTTTTTATTTATTTTTTATTTTTTATTTTTCTAAATATAGTTTTAATTAAAGGACTTCAGAATCTAATGCCAGATCTGAATTGAATTAAAGGGTCATTCATTCCTGCATTTAATCATTGATTAAAGGGTATTTTAAAAAGTCTGAATTTACAAAAATTTTATTAGACATGACAAATAATGAACCTTGGGTAAATCTTGAAATGATAAATCCTATAGAATAAGCTTCTAAATATTAGTACGGTATTGATAAAAGAGAAATTTGTCATTTAAGTAGCTTTGACATAATTATTAGCTTTTGTCAGTATTAGCAATGTATATATGTATGTTTGTGTATCTTTGTGTGCATGCTTAAGGCTGTGCTTTGTACATTATAGACATTTAATAAATAGTAGTTTTTTGAATAAATGACTTCTTCAAAAAATTTAACTAGAATAATTATATTTGATGGATATACATTTCTTCCTATGGTTGAAAAATATTGCTAGATCAAACAGACTTCTGTCTCAATTTCTGAGAATTGGTAAGATTTGACACTGAATGGACAATGTGATTTCCCTAAGTATGGTTTACATAAACATCTGGTGTCTGAGCCCTAAGCCATTAAAAATGCAACTGGCTATCTCCCGCACATAGCCAGAAAGAGGATTCATTTGCTAATAGGGGTAAAAAAGTACAAGGAAGCTGAATTTTAAAAAGGAAAGTGTGTTATATGATGACCTTTTAAAGTACTTTTATTTAAATGGCTCGTGCATTTTCTCTGAGTAGATCAATATATTTAAGGTACTGATTTTTCCTTCCTTTTTTCTCTTAAGCAAGCATCATAATCCTAATCTAAGCATCTTTAAAAATTTTTTTTAATCTCTGAAAAAAATTCATATGTTGATCTGAACTGTGAGGTTTGCGTACATAAAGCCTGGTCTAGATCCCAGCCATTGTGGACAGAAATCGTCAACAGTCCACACCAAGAGATCAGATCCCAAGCAGATGCTGGATTACATTTCCGGTTGGGTTCCTGTAACAAATATTTCTCGAACAGATTTTTTCATGGACCATTTTACACAACCGTATTTTCACAGTTACCTTTGCATCACATTACCTTTGCTGTTAACCTCGAACTCTTGTGTTTTCCTTTTATAGGAGTTTACAGTGAAAATAAGTAATATCCCTACAATTAAGAAATTTCTGGAACCTGGCAGCAAGAAGAAGCCTCCTCCCGATGACATCTACGTGAGAACCGTCTACAACATCTTTATGCCATAAAACATCACGTACATCTGTGAGTGAGAGCTAGCGCCTAGAGATTTCTGTGTCCACAGTAGAATCTTAATTGATGCCCTGATCCCAGCTCTGTCATGGTGCTATGTATAACCTTTCCTTAGTTGGGTCTTTCATTCCGAGATCTTTTCTAGAAACATTCATTGACCTTTTGTTTTGTCTGGTGAATAATTGTTAACACCGCTTTTTCCTGAAAAGCCTTTTCGGAGAGGCTGGCATTTCAGTTAGATCTGATGTGGTGACTCATTTCCTAACAACTAGGCTGGGCAGGACCTTGTGTTCTCCCTTGAGCTTCTTTCCCCCTTCTTCTTATCCCTTTCTAAAAGCCCTCCAGTCTCTTCCTGATTTTTGGTGTTTAATGACAACAGAATATCTAGTGAATAATTCTTCTCAGCTATAATACATCTGTGGTAGTAATGAAGGCAGTCAATATTAGCCAAAATAAAGAATTTACAAATCACTGCCCTGTTGCCAGAATTTTTTTTTATTAATTTTTTTGTAATCTGTAACATATTCCCATGGTTCAGAAATCAAGAGGGCATAAGAGGGTGTAGAGTTGGAAGTGGTCTTTTTGGCCCTGCCCCCCAGCTGCACGGTTCTGCTCCCCACAGAACATAGTTATTGTTTGTATATCCCTCTGGTTGTATTTGATGCACACGTAAGGTAATTGTATATTGCTTTTTTAAAAAAAGATTTTTATTTATTTATTTGGCAGAGAGAGAGAGACAGGGAGAGAGAGAATACAAGCAGGGGAAGCAGGAGAGGGAGAAGCAGGCTTCCCACTGAGCAGGAAGCCCAATGTGGGGCTCAATGCCAGGACCCTGGGATCATGACCTGAGCTGAAGGCAGCTGCTTAACAACTGAGCCACCCAGGCGCCCCCATATATATATTACTTATATCTTCTTACTATCTAAATGGCTATTTATAGGCTGCTAATTTTTTGCATTTCAGAACTAAAAGTACAGTTTCTTAATATTGCTTTGAACATGTATTGATTTAGGTCTTAAATATTAATTGAGCACTTCCTATGTGCCAAGCAGGGTGCCAGGAGGCAGAACCCTAGAACAGAGCCCCTGCTCTAGAACAGTTCAGCACACAGTAGGTGAGAGAGATGTGTACCCAGCCGGAATAATTTTGGAAAAGGAAGAATTGCTGCTTTTCGCATCTTTGATATTTCAGGAAAATAAAAAAGCCGAGGAGAAGCCAGTGTTTGATGAGTCTCAGAAGAGGGCACACTCATTCCTCCCTGCAGGAGGGATTTTTGGCCAGAGGTGAAAAGCCAACACCAGTTGTGAAGTGCTCATTGATGCCTGTCACGATCAATGCAAGTATCTCAGCATTTTATTCGAGAAAAAGCAAGGGCAGGCATCCAGGTGGTTGTTTGTGTTCCCATGTTCACAGTGGGGGCTTCTGTCATCACCATGGTACTTAAAATTGTGGGACAAGCCATGACTGAGGGCAGGGGCAGTGCCAAGCAAGCCTGGGGAGCAGTGATGGCCCAGGCTGCTGCTTCTGAGGGAGAGGCCCAGGCTCCCGCCAGGCTCCTGAGAGCGCAAGCCAATAAGAAGAAAATGGGGGCGTGCATAGTATGGGATTACCCTGTCCAAAGACAGGTCTGGCCTTCGCTTCTGGGAGTTGATCTCTAAGCCCTTGGACTGTCCTGCCCGATGGGAACCCCCTTTTGCCTCGAGGCTTTGAGTCAGCCGGATAATAACCTATGATTTAGGGCGAGGGCTTTGAGCTGCACCAACAAAGCAGCGTAGGGTAGGGTCTTTGGGTCATGTGGTGTCAGCTCCTCTCTGGAGGGGCTGGAGTCCAATCAGCTAGATGGGCCATCAGTTATGCCCACGTGACGGAGTACCCCCGCAGAAGTCCGGACTCAAGGCTCCGGTGGGCTTCCCTGGTTGACAGTACCCCCATTGTCACACATGGTTGCCATGATGTCAGTGCTGTCCACAACTCCATGGAGACAGCACATCTGGAAGCTCCACATGTGGAAGTCTCCTGGATTCTGCCCTGGGCATCTCTCCCCTTTGGCTGATTTTCACCTGTGTCCTCCCCCTGTAGTAAACCATAGCTGTGAGTAGAACAGCTTTCAGTGTGGTCTGTGAGTTCTAATGGACTGTGGAACCTCAGGCTGGTGTTTGGGCACCCTTCAGCTTGGAGCTGGTGTTAGGAGTGAGGGTGGCCTTTTGGACTGCTCCTTCTAACCTCTTTAAGGAAGAGAAACACTTTATACTTATGTGTTGATTAATTTACGCATGGGAAGCAGACATTGACTTGATAACACCCAGGGGCCTGTATAATGGAGTTGTGCGGGATGGCAGCAATTTTGCACTATTTTACACTGTGATTTTTGTGTGATTTTACGAGGGAGTGCCATTGCCTGGCAATACGTGGACTCGAAGCCTTTTTGTAATCATTGGGTTGTACTTCTCTTAAACACCAGGGGGCCCTCAAGGCTGTCTCTGAGGAACCAACCAGAGAGGCATGTTGGTTTTTGCACTGAGAGAATTAGAGGCAATAAACACCGCAGGCCATGCTGTCACGTGAAGACGCGTGCCCCTGTCTTTCCTGCCCACAGGTACATGACCTTAAATGGTGCTGGGCCCTTCCCATACTAAAAACAGGTCTCCCTCCTCCCCCATCTTGCCTCAGGTGGCATTACCTCAGTCTTGTCCCCATCCCCTTTTGGTCCAGACCCCTGCCCTTTAGTCTCAGCCCACGGCACCCACCCCCATTTTCCTGAGCCACCAGCCTCTGGTCATAGAGTAAGTGGTCAGGCACGAGAAATCGTTGATCCTTAAAAACGACAGTGTGTGAGAGGGTTCAGGGCTGAACCCAAGCAGAGGAACCAGGAGGCTCACTGACTCGAGTCCCAATAGGTAGATCAAGCGGTAAAAGTGTGGAACTGCACGTCAAGGGGCTGTGGTGTCTAAACAGAGGGGGAGGGGCAGCACTTAATCTGAGACCCGCTACCAGCTGTTCAGAAAGTTTGCAGGACCACTTCCAAATAAGATACCTGATCGGGGGGAGGGTGCCTGGGTGGCTCAGTGGGCTAAGCCTCTGTCTTCGGCTCAGGTCATGATCTCAGGGTCCTGGGATCAAGCCCCGCATGGGGCTCTTTGCTCAGCGGGGAGCCTGCTTCCCTCTCTCTCTGCCTGCCTCTCTGCCTACTTGTGATCTCTGTCTATCAAATAAATAAATAAAATCTTAAAAAAAAAAAATTAAAAAGATACCTGATGGGTAGTGCAGGTATCTTAAAACAGAATCTTCCCGATTCCTCCTTCCGGCCCCTTGTAACATTTCTGTTACAGATGTCACATCCATCAGCTATCATCGTCTGTCACTACTGTTATTTCTAACACACGACATCGATTTGTTCATATATTGATGCTGCCTGTCTTCCCCAACTAGAATGTGAGCACCGTGGGGGCAGGAATTGGGGCTGTCACGCCCACCGTTTCAGACCGGGGGCCTAAAATAGTGCCTAGGACAGAGTGGTCCTCAGTAAATATTGGTTCAGGAAGCCAGTGAAGTCCTTCTTCTTACTTGGGCAACTTGGTATGCTCTCAGATCCACAAATAACAGATGTAAAGTGAAACCCCAGAGGTGTGTACAAACTGGAGTGCTCCATTGGCTAATCCCTTGCGTGGGTGGGGCATTTAATGGGAAAGGGTTATAAACCCTCTCTTGATCTCCCGGAGGCACCCTGAGAGGAGAGCCGGGAAGAGAGGTTAGTGGTGGATTTCTTACACACTCTTCTCGGCTGTGGCTAGATAGTTCTATTCTGTGGCCGGTTTTGCAGCTTACAGTCAGCAATTGTTCTAACTTCATGGCTAATTTAATGCCTATTATTTTAAACTTGCTTATATCAAAAGGAACATATTTTTATGCAGAGTAGATGGGTACATGAAAATGAGATGGCAAATGTATATTTAGATAAGGCCTTTTAAAGACTTTCATTGCCTGTGTATGACATTAAAATGCCACGAGACCCCCATACCACACGTGAAATGGAATTTTAAAAAATATGTAAGAGTCAAGTGGTGTTTCGGTTGATTGATGGAAATAACCCACTTAACAGAATTGAAGCTTTTGAGCCATTACATTTTTTTTCTTCCTCAGGCAAATCTCATATTTTTTTAAAAGAATTTATTTATTTGAGAAAGAGAGGAAAAAGAGCGGGGCAAAAGGGCAGAGGAAGAGGGAGAAGCAGGCTGTCCACTGAGCAGGGAGCCTGATGCAGGGCTTGATCTCAGGACCCCGGGATCATGACCTGAGCTGAAGGCAGACACTTAACCGACTGAGCCACCCAGGCGCCCCCAAATCTGATATTTCTGTATAAGTTGAAGAGAACATAGGCAGTGCCTCACAGGCCAAATCTCCTTCTCTAGGTGTCTGCATAAGCTTGGAGGATATAATCCAAATAACGTGACGTGGGGGACTTCCTCTGAGGTCCTGCATCCCTGGGGGTCTGTGCTAAGTTGAAAAGCAGAGGGGCCTCTCGTCAAGCCCTGAAACAATCTTCCTAGGACTTGTCCTAATCATTAAACAGTGGTGTGGCAGGTGGTGGTCCACTGCACTTACTCTCCCAGCAGCCTCAATCACCTGGGCAGGTGAATGTCTCTTTCGTAGCTCAGGTCTATTTCTCATTTCAGTTTATAAGGCTGGGTGTAGAAGTCGACCTCTCGTCAGTTTTGGAAATGTGACTCAATCCTTTAGACCCTAACGGAAAGGAAATATAGTTTCTGAAATTCAAATATTGGGCTTTTTGGAGAAATTACTTAGCATGCCAGCAACACTGGCCTAGAGCTACCGCCCTAATCGTCCTGTGACAGAAGTGACTCAAACCTCACCCCACCCAGAAATCTCCTTCGGCTATTTGTGTATTAAAAATGGCAGGTGGGGCACCTGGGTGGCTCAGTGGGTTAAGCAACTGCCTTCGACTCAGGTCATGATCCTAGCGTCCTGGGATCAAGCCCCATTCAGGGTCCTTACTCAGCAGGGAGCCTGCTTCTCCCTCTCGCTCTGCCTGCTACTCCTCCAGCTTGTGCTCAATCTCTCTCTTTCTTTCTCTCTCTCTGTCAAGTACTAAATAAAATTAAAAAAAAAAAAAAATGCCAGGTAAGTGCTTGAGCTGGTTTTCGGAAGAGCTAGTTCCATGTAGGAAGCTTATCTTTTGATAACATGTCTGATTTTGCCAATAGGTCATGTTAGGAAAATAGAAATACTTCCAGGCCATTATAAATGGACTGTAACTTGAAGGCTCTATTTAGCCATACTTTGAAACTCTACTGAAAGTCTCGGTGATGCTGTTAATATTGCTATTTTCCGAACTTGAACATATTCTTTGTCTGAAACATTACGTACTTAGGGCTAAAGTGATGCTACATATCTCCAGTCTAGCAAGTTTAAGTTCTGTGGGGAATACAGGGCTATCTGGGAGAGGTGTGTTTT